TCGATCATGTTGAATAAATTTACTTGTAGGCAAAAGTTTACCATCCCGATGAAGTACAATTACTTTAGAATTTACTTTGAAATTTTCTTTTAATTTCACTGCATTATTTGAACATGTTATATTGTACATAATAAAATTATTATTTTTAATAATTTTATTTTTTTTTTTATGAACAATATAATTAATACCAATTATAAAAATATTATTACATTTTATAAAAATTATTTATCTTTAAGGTTATTTTATGTAATCTTAACCTTAATTTAGAAGTTAAAATTTAATTAAATAAACACTAATGTGATTAATTTTTAATAAAAAAATTGTTAATATAAAATAAAAAAATTTATGACAAAATCAAAATACTATGAAAAATTATGATACTCGTGTAATTTTCTCATTATGATTTTCAATCTTTTTTCTCGGCTTAATAAAAGTAGCCCTTTACATTTTTCTTTTTTATTATATATACACGTAACATCATTCAACTTAATTATTTCTCTCCTCCATCGTTTAACATTAATTAAACCTTAGGACTTGAACGATGTCAAAAATAAATAATTCTTCGTTGTGTATAAACTATATTGTTAAACATACGTAGTTAATTAATTTTAAAATGTAAACAACTGATAGACATTCAAATGGTTACTACTAACCAGTTATATTGCCAAAAATTTTTTTCAAATATTTATATAAATCCCATTCACAAAATATGAATATTTATAACACGATCCTTTTGACCAAATCGATTCTATATAATTTCTACAGTTGCATTTTATAATTTGTAACTATTTCCAATTAACAGGTCTCATATTACTGCAATATTGTAGTAGAGACAGTATAAAATATAAATGTATTAAAATCGTAGTTTATTAAATGTTACCAAATATCATAAATAATATAATTTTTAAATATTTCTATCAGGATTTCAAACCATAATGATTTTTTGTGGTTTATAGTTTTAGTTCATCTACCATATTATTCGGTTTTAAAAACTAATTAATAATGATCTCATATTTTATAGTTTTTTAAAACCGGTTTTCAATGTAATAAAACCGGTTAATTTTGTTCTTTTAAAAAAATATTTTTTTTTATAACAATTTTATACCTCAGACAATTCATTATCGTACATATGAAATAATTAATTAAAAAATTCAACTATCATGAGATATTCTTAAAATAAGTTCATAATTTATATATATTATATCATTATTTTTCAGCTTCAGAGGCCGTATATTAATATATAATAAATAATATAATACACATTTTTAAGTTTTTATTACAATATTGAATATACTAACACACACAATGAACAACATAATTGCAATATTTATTATCGAGTAAAAAAAAAAAAGAAAAACTATATTAATTCAAAATGTTGAACAAATTTACAAATATTTGATAAAATTAAAGATAACACCATCGTCAATTAAAAGCGGTATTGTTACAATAAAAACAATGTGGTTTCTGGTTGTCATTAATCGTGTTCACATATTATCTATAGTAGTGTAGGGTTACAACTAGTAGTCCTACTTATCAACTGTTCAACTTTTATCTTGGGAATTATTTTATATTTATCTAATAATTTTTACCGTTCTTTTGTCAAACATAACAGGCTGACCAACCTAACAAAATGTGTAAAAACTAAAATTAAATATTAATTATTTTTCATGATTAAAAATGTAAATTTATTTTCGTTCGAGAACGAAAAATATTTTTCTGGTTAACTATTTCGTTATCATTATATAAAATTAGTAATTATGGTTCCATTTTTGTTTTCGTCCATACACATTTTTCAATAAAACCGGTTAATAAAAAAAACGGTTTTAACCGGTTTGAAGCTCTGAGATCTATAAAATTGTTCACAAACTATATAATTGGAAATAAAATGATAACATTGCGTTGTATGGATTTTGTAATTATTTTTATATTTTTTGTCTTAATGAGAAACTATTTGAAATAATAAATTGGCACTTGAAGTTTCACGTGATATTTTAGAAATTAAATAGATACAGAAACCTATTTTAATTATTCTATATAATTTTTCAAAATAGTTGATAACTACAAATATTTTCAAAAAATAATGTACTCTGACTATTGAATGTATAATGACGAAATTTGCTTGTATTTATTTTAATGAGTCAAGGAATCTGAGAACTAAGGAATTTGATTACAATATTGTTTCTATAAACTATAATGTTCTTACTGCATTACCATAAGTATCATAATTTGCTAGTGAACATATAAATTAAATGAGTTATATGTTTAATATCAAATCATTGCATCTAAAACATTTCCTTATAATAATATCGACAGTTTATGCACATATAACTTGAAGTATTATTTTACACAATAGTAACCAAAGTAACGGACAAAATATTCATTTTTTTTCTTATATTGAAATATATTTTATACTTGAAATATAAATTTTAATCAAAGCTTAGAATAAATAAAATCATGTATTTTTTTTTACATTATAAATTTAAAAATATCCTCAAGTTTATTATAACGTTTTTTAATATTTTAGGAAAGGGTAAAATAAATCCATAATGCTCAAATCTACATGCAAGTTTTCTTTTTTCTCTCCAACCCTTTTTCATCCCCAACTCAAAAACAATCTCGTTTAAATTTATTACCTGCAAAAGTAACTAAAACTAAAAATTATTTTAAAATGTACCTCTGTTTATTATAATTTATCTGATAGTTTTTACAAGCCATTCTTATAGTATCATACTAAAATCTTTACATTTTTTTATTAAATCAATATTATGCCTGCACAACGATTTAAAACAAAAACTAATAATCTATTTTATATATTATTTAAATTGAACATCCAGAAACATAAATTAAACTAATTGTTTCATAACTATTCTAGTTGTAAGTAAGTATAAGTTCAACTATTGTATCATTAAAGGTTTTACTTAACAGAATAAAAGCTTATATTATGGTTGGAAAGTTATAAACAATAAACTATCGTATAACACTTATAATGCTTAACACCCGGTTTGAGAAATTTTAAACACATTTACATGCACAATATACATACCTGTATATGTCTCTTACAATACTCATAATGCTTGATATGATATATTCACTTGTTAGTATTATACATAATACATACAAATATCCATCCATACGTTCAAATGCATATTTGAATAAGTAATATTTAAAGAAAAAAATACCGTATATTTTTCTTAAACAAAATAAGCAGCTGTTTATCAAAAAATATAAAAAATAACATCTTTTATATAAAGCTCATCAGCGCTTAATCAAGTTCGAATACATTTTTTTTAATTTTTACAGAATTACATTATATTTTTCAAAGTTTAAGTTCATTGTGATTGTCAAGTATATATATGGGTTTATATTATATGCGTACATGCACGCACTATCATGTATGTGAGCTTTTACACAATGTTATGTCCCTATTCTACAGCAAATATAATTTGATATTCAAAATAGCTTTCCTTGCAGATCAGAGTTACAAGTAAGGACGTTATTAGGAGAGACCTCTCGATAAATCATTCGATGCCACAAAACCCACTATTATACGATATCCATTCTCAGACCCAATCACTATATCATCCCAATAGTTCTATATAATAGCTGTCCAGAAATATTTCCAATACCATCTGTTTGAGGAATAGACCTAATATTTACAATATTATATGATATAGATTGTGTTTATATATATATATATATATATATATATGGTTATAATAATAGATATTTAATTGGTGAATTGAAACAATTAAAAACAAAATAAAAATTAATAAATAACTAATACGCATAAATTAATGTATAAATAAATAGTTTCTATGCATAGAAATAAATAAATGCTTAGTTTGAAGTATTATGATATTTATAATGTATGACCGGTTACAAATTAAAAATTCATTATCATACACATATTTAGTCACAATTTTATTGAATTTGTAATATCCGAATTTTTTTTTTTTTTTTGATTTGTGTTAATTTTTAATTCAAAACCAGTCGTACATTACAATTCTAATAATACTCCAGACTTAGCATTTATTTTTTTATTTTTTTAACTATATATATATATATATTTATTATTTATTTATAAACTAAAATTTATAAATTTATTCATTCTTGAAATAAATACATAAAATTAGCAATCAACTTCAATACTAACTCTTTATAATATTTATGATATGCGTTTATATAATTTCTTTAAATAAATAAATTCAAGTTGGTTAGTTTATTGTTTAAATAAATGGCTTTAAGTAACAAAATAATTAAAGAAAACCATAGGTAACATCGTTGATTTTATAATAGATTTTATTATATTATTATATAATCAATGGTAACAGTTAGTAGGGAGTTCAATAACTTTATTTTATTTTACCCTTATTGAGATTAATATTATTTGGATATTTAACGTTAGTTTAATTATTTTACCCCAATGACAGTATGTAAATTTTATATAAAAAACTAAAAGTTCATTTGAATGTTATAAAATTAATAAAAGTAATATTGTTTCATTTATATTGTCTATATATTCTCCAACAGACGGTAAATTAAAGTATTTTATAACTTACATCACATAAACATACTTTATTGTTAATATGTTAAATTTAAATTTCCCATTTATAAAAAAAAAAGCTATTCGTTTTACATTGTTATATTTTTTTTCTTTTTCAACCAACATTCAAAATCTATAAACAAAAATTACCATATTTCGACCCTCTTAAAAATGTTTGAAGTTGATACGGATACATATTTATATAGATCATCTAGGTTGTGTGCCGTTATTGATTATCTCCAAGTATTCGTGATTTTTTCTTATTTCATATTGAACCAACATTAAACTTTCCATTCGTACTTCGTATGAATTTTAAATAAATAATAAAAATGAGAAAACGATCGTTTTTGATCTTGAACATATTGTTTTTACTAATTACCTAAATTCAAAATGACTATCACTCGTATACAAAAAAAAAAAAAAAAAAAATAATAATAATGTACTTATATTTTTACAGTAACATTGGCATTGAAAATAATCGATGTACTCGTTCCAAGATATGCAGACTTACGACAGTCAGTAAAGCTTGAGTGCAGTTTTGACGTAGGCCATGATAAATTGTATTCCGTGAAATGGTACAAGGATGATCATGAGTTCTACAGGTTCGTCCCAGAAGACCAACCAGCAGTTCAAGTGTTTCATCTACCGGGCATTATACTGGACGTTAGTATGTTTTGTTTATTTTATATCACGTGAAAAACGTGTCCCGCGAAATATTACCAATTATGATGCATTATTTATGATTTAAGAAAAATAAATAAATTTATTTAACTAATGATTTATTTTTTATAAAATATTAAAACTATAATTACTATTATCCCAGTAAAAACACACCAATAAATTCAAGCTTATATATTCAAACAAAATATTTTATATTTTATGATGTCAATTAAGTTTGAATTAAGAATTTACTAGTTGAAATATTATTTCAACTAGTAAAATCATGTAGGCTACCTGGTATAATAATAAACAAAACCTTACTAAATAATGTGTTATTTCTTTATAATAATAATTATAAAAACAAAAATATATTTAAACATATTAAAATATACCGATAGAACAACTCAATATTGAGTTTTTCTTATTACCATCAACAATCATTATAACACAATATTTATTTTGAGTATAGTACGAAATGCCGTCGTCAGCTAAATTATCGACCCGTTAAAATATTGACTGTTGAAACTTATCATTATTACAAAATACCGAAAAACTAGAAACGAAAAACTATCAAATTAATAATGTCCGAATATAACTAATAATTTTATGTAATAAAATTATGTCCGAATATAACCAATAATTTTTAAAGTCACCGTCCGTGAACCAAATATTCTAAAACTACAGATACGTTAAACAAAGACGTCAGGAGTGTCTTGATAAGACCCACAACACACATATATATATATACTTCTATAAAAGATTATTTCGACTAAATACAAGAGCACTAGAAAAATAATCTGGAAATTACATATGCATCTATACGGTATTGTGATGAACCTCGTTTGAAACCCCAACAAAAGCTGATTATTTAAATAAGACAATGAATTGTGGTAAAAATTCCGTTTTAGACTTATACGTAGGTTCTCTTATAAGAATTATATCGCAGGTTAGGTTATGGTTTCAATCTTTATATCTTCAATATTTTATTTATTTTATTCATTTTACCATAGTTCATAATAGTATTAATTGTTATTTATATTTATTTTTTTTATATCAATACCAACTATTAATTATTTTGATAATGTTAACCTATATGATTTTACAAAAACAAAAATTGTATCATAATGATAGTTATGTTTTGTAATTAGTCGACATTTCGTATCCGCTGATATTACAAGCATTAACATTTCAAATTGCCAATATTTCTACTGTCGGTGATTCGACTGGCTCTCTATATTGTACAACGATTAAAATTTTATTTGAAGTAGCTATTTATAAGTTTCAATTTTAAATAATTATTCAACTAAGTAATACAATTTAAAACGATTGGTTGTGTATGGAGACAATTGTCAATATATGTCAGTATTGATTGTAAGTTATCCATTGAGACAGATTATTGTATTACACGTTTTAAAATAGGAGTAACGTTAAATAATCATCTCTGAAAAACAACTTTGATCAAATAAGACGTTCTTTTTTTATTAAAATATTTTGATATATTCGCACGGCGTAAAGTACAATGTGTGTTAAATTTCTATTAAATAGAAATTTAATAAAAAAAACTTTTAAGACATTATTTTATTTAAAAACTTATCTAATAAAATAATAAAAAAGTACATAACGGTACATCCAAAAATAAAACACACATAAATAAGAAAAAATGAAAAATAATATGTTCTTATTGAATAATTTTTAATAAAATATACAACCATGAAAATACTGTAATCTATTGATAGCTTACACTTCTAAATAAATAATACATTTTTAACAACCAAGATGTACTACGAGTTATTTTTAGAAAAAGTGTTTTTCTTTCGAATCACTGAAAATCTACAATAATGTGTGTTTTTCCAAATAAAAAATTTTTGTTTTATAGAAAAGAAAATATAAATATTTTTTTTTAAAGGAATTAACTTTCAAATTTAATTTGCTTAGTATATCTTTATTTATTTTTTTCGATTTTGTTAAAATAAAAATATATTCAACTTATGCTACAAAAATAATAATTAAATGTGGTTTAATTTATAGAAAAAAAAAAACAAAAAAATGATTGAGGAGGCAGACCATTCAGTGGTGTAACCCTTCAATGGTGACTTATTTTATATATGAGTATGTATTAAATTTTCAAGAACTCGAAAATATTAATGGTAGAGAATGTTCAATTATAAAATTTATTTTATTTATATTTATTTATTCATTTTTATTTCTATAATTTCAAGGTACAATGTTCGATTTAATCGACAGATTGAAATTTTAGGGAAGGTTAGAAATGAAAGACAGAAAACCACTATTATTAAACATTTAAAATAAATAAATTATTTCAACCAATCTAACAACTAAAAATCTTTTTTGTATCCTGTTTATTTATTAAATTTTATCTCTTTCTTTATGTTATAATACATTTTAATTAACCATGAGTTGAGTTTTATGTTTACCTAAAAATTTAACTCGTTAAAAATAAAATACTGCAAACAATCCAAAGAATCGAAAATTTGACGTAGCTTCACTTTATCTTTTTCTTTAAAATACACATTTAGTTTTTATAAAATTAAATATTACTATGGAGTAAAAAATGAACTAGGTACATGAATTAATATTACAATTTCAATTAATTCTGTTTTTATTTAATTCCACGTAGTATTTAAATATTTATTGAAGTAAATAAAAATAAATTAACTAAATCACATAAAATGTACATTATTTATCGTATGGCTAATTGTTCTACGTTTAGTTGAGTCCTTTTCGAAAGAATCACAAAGGAAAAATGTAATTGAGTATTCCATTTTTCTAAATAAATATAATGACCTATTAAAATGGAACTTCAATAAAATTCCAATTTTTTGAGGATTTAACCTATCAATGTTCAAGTGTTTGATTTAAAATTATTAATATACTAAGAATGAACTAACACATCATTAATGATTAATTTAATTATTCATTACAATTCATACCCAATTAGTTATATTATTTAAGTAAACATAATAGATTATATTTTTCTTATTGTTCTCACCGTGAAAATTTTCTTTTTTGAACATTTCTATGATTATTATCTTGCTTATGGCCAACGACGAGTTCAGTAGGATAATTCCAATACCAACCTCTTCTATTTATAAATTATTAAAGCAAAGTTTTCACTTAAATGTTATTTTGCATTTTACACTATTTAACAAGTAAAATTCTTTTTCTTTCGTTTTTTTTTTTTAAGATTCTGAGTGAAACGAAGAATGTAGGTACTAGTTTCATTACTACTGTATATGATTTTTTTTTTTTTTGTTTTGTATGTGTTTATATCTAAGTGATTCTACTGAAATATTTCTCCGATTATTACCGAATAAAAATTAAAATATAGGAAATAGATTCTAATTTATACTTAGGAAAATGGGATTATTTTTGAATTTCTTAACAGTTTTCTGAATAATTGTGAAAAACAGAGAAAAAATTTAAAAACATATCAACTGATAACAAGATTCTAATATTAAACACTAATAATCACCTATTATTTTTATATGAACTAATTTTATTTCTTTTGTGTGTCTATACATAACATTTTGACGAGAAGTATTACATTGATCACAATAACCATAAGAAATTTTTGATAGAAAGCTTTGTCAAGGTTATTTCATGAAATTTCTAACAACTTTCATAATAATTACAAAAATTTAGTTAAATTTAAATACTTCTAAATTATTCAAAATTTCATGTTTCTCAGCTTTTTTTAGAAAATGTCGAAAAAGTATTTAATAAGAAGTTCCACGTCTAAAACTGATTAATAATACCTAACCTCACATTTATGTAATTAAAAATTCACAAAACTTTTAAATTTCATACTTAAAACTTGAAAATTGAATATAAAATACATATTTCAAATCATTTTCTTTGTAGTTACAAAAAGGGTTAAATGGAAAAATGCAAAATTGTTATACTAGCGTTACACAATAAACATTTGACGAAAGGGTATTTGGAATCCATTTAATGGAATTTCCATTCAATAATGTTAGCCAATTATTTATTATTTTCAAAATATTAATCTTAGAACATTGAAACATTTAATGACTTCTTATATCAGCACATAACAAAAATATTACAACATAATAACGTTATTTAAATATAATTTAATAATAAACATTATTTTTGAAATAATTTTATGTTTACTTATGATGTTTGATAATTTATTTATAGTTAAATCATAATTCTCATATAGTATATCCTACATTGCTTATTTAATGTTATATAATATACTTACGAAATATCTGTCGTACTGCTTATACCAAACAGCTATTAAACATTTAAACAATTAATTTTATTTCTTTTTTACACATCTTTTTATATTAAAGTTATCCTCATTTTCTATTATTAGTAATTGTGAAATAAATTATAATTAACTACAATATATGTTCAAATGTTTATCTCGCAGACCATGCAATTCGTAAATGTAATGTTTTTATAACCTTTTTCCAAGGAAGAGAAAAAGAGTTATTTTACGTTCGTTCATAAACTGTAAATCCCATCATTCTTCTCAAAAACGAATCTTTTGTTACCTACCAACAGTTAAATTTAAAAATTAATTAATTTCTTATAAACCATTAACAATAAGTAGTAAAAAATATTAAATTTCTTATACGTTAAATATAAAATAATAGACCATCAATTATAACGAATAAAGAAAATATAATCTAATTTATAAACTATTAAAACCTGGAAACTATTTTATTTTTATAAAATCAAAATATTTTTTTAACCAACAACTGCTCTTAATCGATTGACATAAAAATATTCTGTGTTCATTTTACTATTTTATAAGGTCAAATTTTTATATTGATATATTTTACTTTATTAATTTTTATGAATCTAAATAATTTTTTAATATATTTTAAATCAAATAATATATATACATATAATTTCATATAATTTCTTCACTTATCTATTATCTTAAGTAAACAGAAAATCGCAATCATAATCCAAACAATTTTATAAAAAAATAAATAAATTTTGATATAATTTCA